CGGGTTGGACGGAGATGTGGTGCCTCGGGGCGCGCCCGGGATCCGAACCCGGGCCGCCAGCATCAGAGCGCGCGCACTTAACCGCTAAGCCACGGAGCCGGCCCGGAAACTACATCTTAAATAATGACAGGGTGCAGAGTTCACACCAGCAGTCTCGACCAGATGCAGTTCAAGTAGAGATGTTCTGTTTTCAAACTTACAAAGAACATCCATCTGTTCTGTAACACCTATGTTTCCTGTAAGAGATTTACCACAAACCTTTCTGCTCAAATCTAACAAAATGCCATTAGCAGGGAGCCCTAAGCTTTTTCCCATATGATTATCAACTTTTCCAAAGGCAGCCTTTTAAATTCTAGTAAATTCTATTAATTCTAATCAAGATGAAGCTTTCTTCTACCTTATGGTTTTTTCCTCCCCTTTTAAAAAAATGCCCAAGAGCACCTTTTACCTTTCCTTATGCATTTCTCATGGCATTAAAAAATCATATTCTGCATGAAAAGATAGATATTTATGAATTTATTCCCTAGACTAAAATTTAAAGCTTGGGAGGTACTTATTCATTATTATATTCATCTTTCCTTCCCAAGCAGGCTATCTAAAAAGTTAATGCTGAATGATTTGTTAAAATAAAAATAAAGTAGAAATTAGAAAGAAAATTTTGTAGAGTTTTTATTACTACTAATATATATTAACACATCAAATTTAATATATAGCCATTAAAATATAAACACTTTAGAAAACTCTGCACAGTCCAGTAGGCCATTTAGAGTTGATCAACACCTGGCATGGCGTTTTGAGTCATTTCTATTAAATAAGGGATATTAGACCACTGATTTGGAAAATAATCCTCTATTACTAAATTTCTATGAAAATATTAGCCCTGTCAATATATTTTTGACTTTGATTATTCTGATCTGCAATCCTTTTTGAACATAACACATTTTAAGATAAAACTTTTAATGGGATACTTTCTTTATGTGGCTTTGATATAAATGGAACATAGAATAATTCTGTGTATACTTCAAAAACTATACTTTGAAATGTAACGTTCTTATAAGATAATGGGAAACTTAAAAAGAATTATTATCCCCAAGCTCTTGGTTTTTCTGAGGTAACTATGAAGCTTATATTAGATTCCAGGCTTCCTTATTCTTGGCTAGTAAACTTTCCACTAGCCTATTAAGTGTGATTTTAGAACTATAAGAAGACCATAGATTTTCCAAGATGACATATAGGCTAAAATAAAATTCAAGTAACAAAATATGAGTGTTAAAGTATTTTTCTTACTTCAAATTTAAATGAACCTTAAAATCACCACATTAGATATTTTAAATATAGTTACAATTTATTTTCTTACTGGCAAGTTCTAATGAGTCCATGTGTAGAGTTTAGTCTCTCTTAAGTCCTAATAGGCAGCAGTCAAATTTTATACATTATTTCATTTACTCCGAAAGTTCAGATCAGTGCTAGACATATAAGTTAACATAGATATAATAAATTATTCTTTCTATATGCAGACATGATGGTTTATGGACCTTTTACTACATAAGAATAGTCTTAGTAAGCAACAAAAAGTAAAAGGTAAGCAATCAATTCAAACCAATTTTTAAAATCTGGCTTAAAATCACTACAATTATAATATAGCTCAATGAATAGGTCTTAGTCCTTTAAAATTTAGTTTAGTTTAATCAGTGACATCTACTCCATCTCCATGTATAGCATGGGGCTAAGCTCATTCTACAAAAGCCAAAGAAAATCAATCCTCTTTCCTTTAGGATATTTCCTCCAAGAGCAGTTCCAAGGACCTGAGGTAGTTTTTAAAGCTCTTTCAGGTAATCTATAAACTTGTTTCTTGTAGTATTCATCTTTATACCATATTTTTTGTGTCTCTTTCTCCAGAGACAAAAAAAAACAAATAGGTTTAGCAGTCTGTAGGATTAAAGTTTCTATTAATATAATTCATTTTCATAATGATGTTATTTATCAAGCTTATTAATTATATTAAAGCAGGCGAATAAGACATCTTTTTAAAATCTATTTTACGTCTTTCAAACAATTAAATCTCTTACCAACCTTCACAAGTGGCATCTGTTCAAGCGGTACGTTTTCAACTGGGACATAACACGTATAGCAGTAGAACATTCTTGAACCACCGCATTTGAGACACCTTGATCTCCCACTTTGTTGAGCTTTTTGAAGAACTTCTTGAGAAGCTAAGCATAAGTTTTGAAGAGGATCTTCTGAAGCTATGGGAGCAGTTTGTGACTGTTGTATTTCTACAAATTTTGAATTATTTTCTTCCCTTTCTTTGAGAAATATAGGTGGATTGAGAGACATTTTTTCATTCAAACCAAAATTTACACATGTATTTCTAAAACACATATCATAGGTGCACTGGAAAAAAAAAGTAGGGGGCAAAATAAAAATAGAAAACATTTTACTCACTCTCTCTACATAGAAAATTACTCAATTTATTTCACAACTGTGTGCTGTTTTGGTATTTACTAACAAACGTTAATAAGTTTTTAAAACCATTAAATTAGCATGCTTTAAAATACAAAATGAAAAAGCAATAAACTCAAAACAATAAATTACCCTTTTGGGCCATTCCCTGAATAAAAATAGAAAGGTGATCTCTTAGAAAAATTATTTCAAATATAAAGTTTAGGTGCTAACGGTCCATTTTTCAGTCACTCTTTTGTTCCAGGGACAGCAATTTTGTTTTATATCAGGAATGTAATGGTTTAATGTTAGTATCAGCCAGCAACGTATTCACCTTGTAGGCTCTGACTTTGAAGTAATGTTACACGACATCAAATCTCAACCTGAACTCTACTGAAAATACGAGGTTCCAGTGAAATCAGTAAAATTTAGTTAGATATGTTCTAAAAGATATATTCCTCCCCAACTTAAAACACACACAAGATATATAACTAAACATCTATTAAAATATAAGAGGCATCTACTACCAAGTGTAATTTGCAAAATATCCCAAAAGGTGAAATATATGTTCAGAAAAAATAAAGCCTGATCTTATATGTTTAAAAATTTTATAGAGTAACATTAATGTCTACTCACTCTAAGAAGTCATATTGTTTTTTGAAAATATGCACCACGCAGATTCTTTAGCACTAGAGATAAAATAGTAAAATAACTTTCCCACTTAAATATTTTCTTCAAACAAGGATGGTGACCGCCAAAATTGTTATTCAGCTACTCTGTAAGCACAATATCTTTTGAGGGAGAAGAGACTGGGGCCCTTTTGATTTGATACAAATTCCAAAGCTGTAAAATGATTCTCTTATTATAAAGCCCTATGGCATTGTGGTGTGTAACTATGAGTCTCCAGGCATTTGGAGTACAAACACTGACAGGAGAAACGCTGTGACTGCAACAGAAAACTTTCTGTGGTCTCCCAAATAGAAAGCGAACAAAAAAGACCAGTAGAACATAAGACACAACATAATTTACTAACAAGAAGCTAGTGATACTAATTTAATTACTCATCAGGAGCTTTTTATAGATTGTAAATCCCAATGAGCTTGAGGCCCAAATAAAGAGATGCAAAGAAAAAAGGTGCTGGTCCTTGAAGGAGAAGTAAAATGTACTTGCCAAATTTACCCGAGGGGAAAACCAAAGTAAAATAAATATTTTTGATGTGTACTGATTAGACACAGGTTTACATTTTGAGTTGCTCAGTGAAAGCGATATTTGAGAAAGATGGTCCCATCCCTTTTTCCAGCCTCACAAATGGAAAACATTATCTACTTCTAACCCTCACTCCAAATCACCTCCCTAAAAATGGCTTCTATCTTTGTGAATTATGTCCCCAATGACTAGAAGAGTGAACAACATTAAGCTGCCAACTTTACTTGAGTCTCAGATCCTTTTAAGATCACATGAGAGTCTTTGACCTTATCTCTAGAAATGCATATACAGACACAATATTTTACACACAATTTCAGGTGGTTTGCAGATCCCTAGAATCCATCCACAGGTCCAGGTAACGACATCCTTAGATCAAAAATTCATTCTAAGCACAGAAGCAGCCTTAAAAGTCTGGAAAGAGAGCCTATTAGTTTCCAGAAATTGGAGCTACAAATCCTGTTGGCTAACAAAAGGTCAACTGTCACAAGCCAATAAGGTCTCATCACTGCACACAGGAAGCTAATTAAGTGTCACCTAAATCCTCTTGGTTTGGGTTTGTTCTGGTAATGCCTGAGGTTCTTACAGAGAAACATTTTTTGCTGAGGAAGATTCACCCTGAGCTAACATCTGTGCCCATCTTCCTCTGTTTTGTATGTGGGTCGCCACCACAGCATGGCTGCTGACGAGTAGTGTAGGTCCGTGCCCGGGAACCAAACCTGGGACGCCAAAGTAGAGCCTGCCGATCTTAACCACTAGGCCATGGGGCCGGCCCCCAGAGAAACATTTTTAGGCTATAATAGTCTTGAGTTATCCAGATCCTGGGGCTCATCCTAAAAAAGAAATTGGACTGGACTAATTCAACCTGATTCTATTTCCCTGGGTATTCCAGTAGTTTTTTATGGGCACACAAAGTATGCCGTTCGTAGGGACATCATGAAAGCCAACACAGTTGCCCGACATTCAGCGCAAAACGACTCGTGACTTTTTCTATGGCCATCAAAATACACTCCTGAGATGTCTCAGAAATATCCCCCTATATTTCACTTGGCTTCTGTCCATATAACTAAATGAATATCAGTGAAACCTTACATAAATGTCCTTCCTCTACAGAATCAAACAACACAAATACCTGTGAGACAGTGAAAGGGAAATGTTTATGGCTCCCTCCCTTGCCTCATCTACACACTCACCTACGGCTGAAGCAGCTACACAGAAGAGGCCTGCAGTTGTAAGCCATGGGCAGCTCCCTCCAAAGATCTCTGAAACCATAAGACCAGGGCCTCTCTCCTGACCTAGCCAACAGCCTGCCTCAAACGTGTACAACTCATTTGTTGCAAACATGATTATTTAAAATCTTCAAAACATACTTGTTAACATCAAATGTGTGCAGGGAAATACAAGTGGAGTCGTGGGAATAACTCAGAAAACGTAAAAAGACTTTATTCCTAAGGAACTAACAAATATTTTTACCTTGATGGTGCACCCATCATTCTGCAACTTAGGTTGAAAACAAATTAATTTTTTACTCCTCCTTCTACCCTCTTTTCCCCCAAAACTAACAACTCACCAAGACGCATCAGTTCTACCTTGCACCTAATCCTCTATTTTTAGTCTCCAAGTCAGGACTCTAGAGGGTCTATGGCAATCTCTTCAACTCTTTACTTTTGTGCATTTATTATTGGTTCCATTTAACACGGAAAAATGTACTTTAATTTGGAGTTAACTTTTAGTGAAGGCAATCCTCCTAGCAGACAGTCAACTCTGCAAGAGCAGAATTCTTTACTGATTTCACCTCTCTAGCCCTGTCTCTTATGCAGGAGGAGGAATTCAACAAATACTTGTTAACTAAATCAAAACCATCCTGAAAAAAAAGCATCCAGTATGCATCTCACTACTGAAGTACCTGACAAACTACCTTTATGGGCCATCTGCAGCCTGGCACAAGTGGCAGCCTGGCAGATTTTTTGGCAAAACAATAATGGAAAAGGCTCCTAGCTACAAGTTGACCTACCTCCCAGTGGAACATCATATAAAACCCCCCTGTCCTGTACTGTGGACCAATTCAGCACCAGATAAAATCTGCTTCAAATTTTTTTTTTCTTAGGGTATTTTTAGGAACCTGGTCACATGTGTACAGGTCCAACATCCATTTTTTTAAATCCAAGGTACCACCTTTTTCATACAGGACTAATGGCCCCTCCCACACCACCCACCACGTGGGAAGCAGACTGGCTTGCCTTAGTTTTTCGTGGTACACTGCGGTTCAAACAGAAGTAATCCTTAAATGTTGTGAGTTAAGTCAAGCAGCGATTTTATCTTCCAGTTCTTTGAAACTGGCACCTTAAAGTGTTAATATACTTCCTTAGTAATAATTTTGACAGAAGGAACAGACTCCTTTGCTGATTATGTAACCATAATCTTAATATGTAAATGCACTGCTCGGCATACTATGTCTGTACTAAGCTTCTCCTTCCGTGATAACCAATCCCCCACAAACCACTCCAAACACTAAAAAATAAAGAATAGGGTTCCTAGGGGACTAACTTTGCCAGGACAGCCTTTCCTTGGAGCGGGAAGCACCGAAAATAACTGTTAGGGAAAAAATATTTTTGAAGAAAAATTTGCAAGTCTTCTTCCCAAAGGGCCCGCAAGCTTCTAAAGATGCAAGCGCCCGCGCAGGGACCAGGGTCGCGCTCACAGCGACAGCCGGCACGCTAGGGACCGGCCTCGGAGCGCCACACCTCTGGCCCCCAGAGAGGCGCGGAGCCCGGCACAAGGGATCGGAGTGGGACTCAGACCTGCACAGCCCGCGGGTCCTCGCACAGCTCCACGCGTCCTCTGCTCCGCCCGAGCCCCAGGCGCGCGCCCGGCCGAGGACGCGCCCGGACGCCGCGGAGCGCTTTCCGGGCGACACCGGAGGGAGGAGCCCGGCCGTTGCTAGGGCCGGGCGCAGCGCAGGCCACGCGGCAGAGCTAACGGGCGCGGAGGACCGCCGGGAAGGCTGGCACGGAAGTCCCGCCTCAGCCGCTCCCGCAGCCCGCGGTGGCGCCCTTCTGAGGCACCGGGTCCAGGAGCGGGGCGGGCATCGGCGCGGCCCGGCCTCACGGCCCCCGGCCCTGCGCTGAGTTCCCTCCTGAGGCTGGCCTGGCCCAGATGAGTGGAACGCGGTTCTTGAACTATAGCCTCAAGGTGTAGCTGCAGTGAGTTTGAAAAATGCTGCTCCGACAGAACACTTGTCCATTTTACCAATTCCCAAAATATTGTAGTCCTGAGAACTTGGTTCTGTTACTTTTTTATGGCTATGTCAAAATAAGTGTTTCGTGCCCTGCGTCGTAGTAAGCTATTAGAAAAATTGTATCTTCATGATTTGGTTTGCTTAAAAACTGCACGTGCACGTAGAGTTGGGACTACTTTGTGCACCTTTTCTGCTTGAAATTAAGCATAATACGTGGGTAGATTATTAAATAATTTTTCTTTGCCCCACCCCGGAGAAAATCCAAACTTAAAGAGTGCATGTTAACAATTGTGAGATTTAGAAACGCAATGGCCAGATAATAATGAGCAATGTATTTATTGAGTGCTGTGCGTTTAGCAAGTGAGAGATAAAGGGTAGAACCTTGCCCTGGAGGAGCTTACGATATCCAGTTAAGCGTGAGTAGTATGGAAAATACAGTAAGACTAATAAATTATAGGTATTTGAAAAGAGCTCAGAATGGAGTGATCAGTGAAGGCTTATGGTTAGACTTGCGTAAGGCCTTGAAGAATGATTATGGTTTAGAGGATTGTGTGGGACGCAGTGGTGGAGGCCCCATTGGTAAGCAGGGAAATCTAGTCATAACTACACTTTAAAAAAAAATAGTATAGTGTGGAAATATCAGTGCGTGGCACTTGATGAAGTTAAGTATTGCTTTATAGAGTTTTAAATTATGTATTTATATATGCCTGTATGTGTGCACTAGGCCATGTTTATAAAATGTTTCTTATTGTGTGTTTCTCTTTAAAAACTTTGAAAGCCACTGCTTTAGGGAGAAAGGTGAACTTTCTGGGTAGGAGAGGTAGCAATAGCAAAGTCTCCAAGCCAGGAATAAATAATTCACACCTTTTTCTTTTTCAACCACTTTATTTCAAGTGCACAGATTAAAAAACAAATGATACCATTTATTAATTGGAGTGAGTATTGGGTTACTATTGCTATGTGATAAATTACTCCAACATATGGTGGCTTAAAACAACCATTTTATTATGTTAATGAATTGTGTTCAGTAGGGCACAGAGGGACAGCTGTTCTCTGATAACTCAGCTGGGAAGACTATGAATACCAGCAGAGCTCCTGTTGTGTGGCCTCTCCATGTGGCCTGGTCTTCCTCACAATATGGCAGCTGGGTAATCATAATTCTTAGCTTAAGTCCAGTGCTCCAAAGTCAAGTGTTGCAATGAACAAGGCAGAAACTAGTGTTCTTTTCTAACCTCGCCTCAAAAAGTAACGTAGTGTCACTTCCCTCACGTTCTTTTGGTTGTGAGTCACAAGGCCTGTGCAGATTTTAGGAGATGGGACATAGATGCTGCTTCTCTAAGATTGTCAAAGAATTTGTGGCCATTTAAAAAAAAACAACACAGTGAATTTACTGCTGTCACAGAAAACCCCAAAATTTCAGTGAAACTAAAATTTCAGTACAATAAATTTTTATTTCTCACAAAAAATCCATTGTGGATGTTACTAGTCAGATGAAATGTTAGACTCAAGGATGTGGGTTTCTTTTTATTTTTAGTGGTTCTGCTGTCTCCTAGGACTTGGGGTCCATAGCTTATCTGACATGAAAGAAAGCATGGTGAATCAAACAAAAAGTTTCAGAGGTTAGCCCTAAATATGGCCTATAATACTTGGCCTACATTCCATTGGCCAGAATTTAGTACCTAGGCCCTGGCTTTAACTGCAAGGGATCCTGGGAACTGTAGGGAAACATACACATTGGTGAGCACTAACAGGTTTTTAACCAAAGCCCTCTGGTCCCCAACCCCTCCACTCTATTCTCAATTCTTCTCTCAAAAGGAAAATTCAAGTCTTTTCAATATATCTTCTGTTATTTACTCCATATGTTAAAATATAGTTATACTGCAATTTCTTGATTTTTCAATTTCAGACATTATCCTTTGACTTTCTCCCATGAAAGTCAATGATAAAGCTCTTTTATAACACCACCCCCAAGTGTGTGAACATTCCGTCTCTCCCTACCCCCACGCACACTTCTTACCCCCTCATCTCTCAATAGAGGAATATCAAAGTTTTTGTTTAAATAAACATTTTTAAATATCACTCAGTCTGAGCCACATATGATCATGTTGACATTTAATACAACCTTTTACTCTTTTGTCTTAATAATTGCCATATTTTATGTACTTATTAGCAATCTGTCCCCAAACACTCTGTCAAAGTGGTAAAGCATCACAATCAACCACATGAATTAATCTAGCAGATTATTTTTTTTCCTTCCAGATATTCCTTCTAGAGCATTACAACCTCTAGTTCATTCAGTGTTGGTTGCTTTTACCAATCCAATACTGCTCTCCTGTGTTAGATCCCTTGTTTCCTTTTTCTTTGTTTAATCGTTTGTTTTTATGAAGCATATCCTCTAGGATCTTCCTGAGAAAAGGTAAATAGGAGTGTGGTAGACAGCATAATGACCCCCCCTCCCAAAGATGTCCATATCCTAATTTCTAGGTCCTATGAATATGTTTTCTTCTGTGGCAAAAGGAACCTTGCGTATGTGATTAAGTTAAGGTTCTTGAGATGGGGAAATTACTCTGGACTATCTGGGAGGCCTACCATGATTACAAGTGTCGTTATAAGAGGGAGACGAGATCAGAGAGAGAAGATGCTACACTGCCGGTTTTGAGGTTGGAGGAAGGAGCTAAGGAGCAAGGAATGTAGGTGACTCCTAGAAGCTGGAAAAAGCAAGGAAACGGATTCTCTCCTGCTCCAGAAGGAGCATAGCCCTACCAACGCATGTCAGACTTCTGACCTCCAAAACTATGAGATAACAAACCTGTGTTTTAAGCACCTAAGTTTGTGGTGATTTGTTACAGCAGCAATATGAAAGTAATACAAGGAGAAATGGTGTTTTTTTTACTAGCATGCAGATCCGAAAAATGCCACACACTTAACTGATGGTCTATCTGTATTTAAATTTCTGTGTTGAAAGTCATTTTCTTGGAATAATCCTCTAAATTCTTACCTTTTTTCCTCTGATTCTTTTTTTTTTTTAACATTTTTATTCTAGTTTCCAGAAGATTTCTTCAACTTTTTTTCTCCACAAATTTTTGTGGAATATTCAATTTATACCATTATATTTGTACTGTACTTTTTTTAAATTCTCTATTACCTTATAATATGCTGCTTTGGTTTCAGGGATGCATTATTTTATCATATCTCTCCAAGAATCTTAAAGACATTTTAAAAGTTTCCTTCTGTTCCCTGTATCATCTGAATCCTCTCAGATTTTATTTTCAGTTGTTTCTTTGAATTTCTTTTTGTTTTTATCTTTTTCAAAATTTTACAGTTATTCCTTAAATATCTAGTAATCCTTGGATTTCTATACATGTTAAAGAATAAGGATTAAAATAGTGATAGCTCAGGGATTGTCAAGCAAACAGCTTCATAATAGGGTCAGATTTTTATTGGGAGATTCCCAAACGTCTATAGAAGAAAAGCCACTAATGAAGATAGGAGCAGAAATCAATGAAATTGAAAACAAATGTGCACTAGAGAAAAGCAACATGGCCAAAATTGGTTCTTTGAAAAGATTAATAAAATTGATAAGCCCTTAGATAGACTGACCAGGAAAAAAAGAGAAAACTCAAAGTATAAATATCAGGAATGAAAAAGGAAACATCCTACAGATAGCAAAAATAATAAGAGGATATTAAGAACAAATATTTATGTCAAAGTATTTGACATTTTTTATTTTCTGTGAAAAACACAATTTACCAAAACTGATATAAGAAGAAATAGACTATCTGAATGATCCTATATTGATTTTGAGAAATTGTATCTGTATTAGTCTGCACTGGCTGTCATAATAGAATACCAAAACTGAGTGGCTTAAACAACAGAAATTTATTTTCTCACAGTTGTAGAGTCTAGAAGTCCAAGATCAAGGTGCCATCAGGGTTGGCTTCTGGTAAGAACTCTCTTCCTGGCTTGTAGATGGCTGCCTTCTCACTGTGTCCTCACATGGCCTTTGTGCGTACACAGAGAGAAAGATCTCTCTGTTGTCCTTTCATCTTCTTGCAAGGACAACACTCCTATTGGATTAGGGCCCCACTCTTATGACCTCAGTTAACCTTAATTTCCTCCCTAAAGGCCCCATCTCCAGATGCAGTCACATTGAGGGTTAGGGCTTCAATGTAGGAATTTGGGTGGGGGGGACATAATTAAGTTTATAACAGTATCCTTAATTTAAAACTTCTCCATAGTTTCAGATTCGGGTAGCATCACCAGCAAGGTCTACCAAACATTTAAGGAAGAAATAGTACTGATCTTGCAAATTTCCAAATTCTTTCAGAGAATAGAAAAAACAGAACCATTTCCGAATTTATTTTTTCTTTTTTTTTGAGGCCAGAATAATCTTCATTCCTAATCTTGACAGGGACATTATAATGAAGAATATTTCAGGCCAATTTTTCTCATAAACATTTTGGCAGCTTGCATTTATTAGTCTCAATTCTCCATTTCTTCTTGTATCCATGCCCTTTGTCACGTGACATTGTAGTACCTCCCACCTCCATGGCCAGAATATATTTCCCTGCCTTTAACTCTGGACTTAGCCATGTAACTTACTGTGGCCAGTGGGACAAAGTAGACAAGATGCAAGCGAGAGTTGAAACGTGCTTACACAG